ATTAATATTCATACTTGACGCCAACATGTGGATATTCCCATCTCATGAGTCAGGACGACAATATATTGCAGTATCGATAACCTCTGTACTGCAGAGTCATTTCATCCTGGAGTAAATCCAGATTGAATCCATTCCCATTACAGACAAAAGCCAGAGGATAGCCGGTGTTTGTGGGTTTTTAGACCATTCGGAAAGGGGCTTTACTGGGTCCTCCCAGGATTGTCTCTATCTCATTATCAAGCTCCCACAGCAGGACAGCTTGTGGGTCATGTGACAGCTGTATAGATACTTTAAAGCAGTAGACTAAGTCTCTGCTCTGAAATGCTCTTCATACCCTGTCCTCCTCTGGATGGGTCTATGCTTTAGCAGCAGGGAGGAATGAAACCTTTATAAAGCAATCTACCAAACTGCAGAAACACGCAGCACGCACAGATGACGATTATCTGCAGTGACATGGGTTTAATAATTGCAGCTCCTGGCTCACTTTGCTTCCTTTTTTCCTCATTGAAATGATACTATTGTCACCATACTGCTGCTGCTAAAGCTTTTGGAACATGTCCTGAGCAAGTGTGCTTTTCAGATTTAGGGGATAACGCTACGTTCAGAATGACAATGGCACTAATAGCACAAAAATCTGGTGTCAAAAAATCATTGGGGAAAAATGTTTGCTGCATATCAATATCACTGCATTAGCCAATAAAATGCATTCAAGCTGCTGGATTACTGTCTAACTTTAAGAGTGTAGTTTCACTTTTCACCATCAACAATTTCAACAGAAATCCCCTCATGTATTATAAATTGCTGCGTGGTGTCCAAGTAACTTTTTCTGAGTGACCTAGTATTTTATTTGTCACTGGTACTTTTAGGAACACCTCCACACACATGTAGCCCCTTCAAGTCTTATTAAAATGGCAGTCTTTTAAGTGTTTGGGTCAAACATGACAAAACATTTCATGAGTTGTAATCGCTGCACCGCTCCTTTCAGAATGTTGTTTCACGACACAAGAACTTGAAATCGTCTCCGAACTGTTATTGTAGCCGTCACACTTGTTTGTGTTTTCTAGTTAATTAATTCACTGGAGTAGAGTGTTTCTGAAAAACAAAACACAAGAGCTGTGCAGGCTGGAGCAGAATGACATTCAGAGTCAATAAATAAATTATACAAATAGTCACCACTTGTCCTCGATTCTTGGCTTCCTGTCTGTGCCTCCTCCTCTACATTCCTTGGCTGCAGGCAGGAAACTGTAATGAGGATGGAGGAGGAGGAGGAGAAGGAGGAAGGAAAAGCTTCCAAAGAGATCTTCGTTTGCATGAACCTATGAATAATGAGTAGTCATCCATTTAATAACATGGAAAAAGGCATTTAGTTTGTAAAGGAAAAGAACCGACAGTCTAATGTGGTAGATGCCAGTTCTAGGAAGGGAAGTCTTGCATAAGGTACATGTTGCCATTATACTTTCTAATAACATCCCCATTTAAGACAAAATTCTTGACATTTTAGTTAGCATTAACGCTACACTACTGGAAATCACTTGTAGTCTAACTGCTTTCCTGGATCGGTGAAGAAAAAGTGGAAGAGAAGATTGCAGTTTATTCCAGGTGAAACTAATATACTGTAAAGACGTGGTATCAGATTCTGACATAGATTTGCGTACTTGCCGATGCCTAACCAGGCATTTTCAGCAGTATCTGAAATATTTGTGATGCTGGTAATGGAACAGGTTTTGACGTTTGCCAGTTTATGGTTATTTATTTTTTTACACTGAAATGATGACACATGTGGCCATTGAAGAGTTAAAGATGATAAAGACTAAAGAGGCACTAAGATAAAACTTGATGTACTTTTTCGTACAAATTCTGCTCTCCTCTAGAGGTATTTTATATTTTTAGTCAGTTAGACAAATATCGTGATTTATCGTTACATGATTTTCTTGCAATATATCGATTTTCGCAGAATCGCTGTATCGTGATATTATCTGGAATAATACCATGATCGTGAGTTACCCTGTGATTCCCACCCCGAATGAATAGAATGATGATGAAGCTGTGTATTTCTGCAGGAATAAAAATACTTTGTGTTGAACAGAAACAGAGCATGTTAACTTTGTGTGATGGTGCTCTTGAAATGAAAAGGTAAAAACCAGGCTGCGACATGTAGAAAAACGATTCTCTAACAGGACCTATCTCAGGATAGATGCAGTAATCAAAGTCCCTCTTTGGTTTCATCTCACTCACACACACTATCTGACTATACAGTGCGGCTCCACTAACTCTCCAGCAGGTTATTTGAGTGTTCAGGTCCTGTCACAGTAAACCACTGTGTCATTTCCATCAACTCACTATGGACTATCTACCAAGTGGAGAGTCTGGGATTTTTGCATTACTTTGAGGGTTTATCTGGGCAGTCAATCGGCTTCTCACAGAGGGGACATCACTTCTGCTTGAATGCACATAAACACTCACACACGCACAAACTACTCATTTGTGCGATCAGCTCTATAGGCAAATCACTTCCCACCATCACTGTCAGTATTTCACTCGTTCTTTTCATGTCACAATATAAATACATCAGCAGCGTCATAAAATAGATATATACAGCGCTTGAATAATTTTGTGTGAGTTAGCACCACATGACAAAGATGTCACACAGGCACATTTAAGGCTGCTAAGTACATATCCTGTGCACTTCCATTAAGGCAGTAACAGGACGCTTAAAGCAAACTCTGTGCAGAGAAGACAGAAGATTCCAGGAACATTCACAGGGGAACTCTTGCCCCCTCCAGTCAAATTCATTATTTTAAAATAACCTGAAGAGAATGAAGACAGGGAGAGATTTGTGTTGTGTCTACAGTCGGTGCTCTGATCAACACGACTGCCTCTGGAACGTGTTCTCAAGTCATCTGGGAAATAACAGCAACGCTCAGCCCGGCTGCCTTATTAACAGCGACACAAATGGGGCATAAATGCCTGCGTGAATGCC